AATATAAGGTATGTAGACGATACTGTGATATTAGCTGAATCGGAAGAACAACTAACCATACCAATGAATATAATGTCAAAAGAAAGCCATAAGATGACTTCCAGATTGATTCCAAAACTAAAGCTTCAGTACCTATTTAACAGAAATCTCCAAGAGCAAATTATAACTGATATAAATGTAAATGGTATCACCATGCAGAAGTATGTATATCTGGACAGAAAGATAAATAATCTATAAGTCCACTCCAAACAAATTAGAGAGTGATCAAAATAGCAAGATCTGAGTTTATGAATGTGTAAAATTCTCTGTGTATAAAAATATATATAAATTGCTTAGAAGATTTGATGTAAATATCCTTAAAGCTTTTTACGATATTTTAGATGCAATAAATGATTTAAGAAAAAAGAAAAGCAAGAATACTTTTCACATAAAAATAAATGAAGAAGAAAGGTACAAGACTCCTAAAATTTCAACAAATGTTATAAGGAACACTTCTTAATTTATATATAAAGCAAACTACAGTCGTCAGAGACGAAAATTCTACTGAACCTCCTAAAACTCCCACCATAGGGAGGTGAAAACGGAAAAAATCTATTCACTAAGAATCTGCACGCCGTAGATAAAAATGTTTTAAGTTAAAAATGTAGCTGAGTCAATAAAGTTTACCTATTAGTTCTTTTTTCTGTAGAATGAACAGTTTCTCTTAGAAGCAATGCTTGAAGCGACCGGTAATTGTCGATATCAGGTACGCGCGCAAAATAAATTAAACTTATATCAACTCAAATGTAAAAATTCGATATCTTTTGATCAGAGTGTCCTATCGACAAAAATCAAAATGCGTTTTAAAGGTGAAGAGAGCAGCTTTCGTATGATTTTTTTGCATTGTGTCACAAATGAAGTCAGTTTCTACAAAGGTGTTAAATAAAAAAATGTTTAGCGATTTTTACCATTTTTTACAATTCTCATGAGATCAATAATATTTATCACTTCCATTGACCGGTCACTAACGAATTTTCATTATAAGAGGCCAATCTTCCAAACGTATAGCCTTAAATTCGGTTTTTTTAATTTGAGCAACAAATGTGAGGCATTTGAAATATGCTTAAAAAACGCTAAATTGTTGCCAAAACTCAAAACCGAAATTTCAGGCTACTAGGCGGTCCGATACGTACTTATCACACAAAAGAAAAATTAAAATTTAGCTAAAGTAGCGATTTATTTATTAACGTAGTCACCTTTCAGCTCGATACACTTGACCCAGCTATTCTTCAACTTCTCTAACCCATCTGAAAAATACGTGTTGTCGAAGTCCACAAAGTAGGTTTCTGTGAAAGCAATGACCTCCTCATTTGACTTAAATTTCTGCCCGGCGAAAGCCTTTTTCAAGTTTTAAAACAAAAAAAGTCGCACTGGACCAAATCTGGGCAATACGGTAGATGGAGGAGGATCGAATTCGATCAATTTCGCTGTGGCGATGACGAATTGGTGCATTGTGGAAGGGCACTTTTTTCTTTACCAAATCGGATCGTTTTTTCTGAAGCATGTTTGAGCCTTTGAAGCATGTTCGCTGGGTGCCGTCCCGTGTGATGACTGTTACCTAGTTTCTGGTGTGTACCAGTGGATCCATGATTTGTCGAAGGTTACAAAACGACATATAAACCCATTCGAATTACGCTTATTGCGTCAAACACTGATCTGAATTGGTTTCACGGTTCCGCTTGTTATCCGGATTGAGCAAATGCGGCAGCCATTGCGCCGACAGCTTTCTTATGACCAAAATTTCATACAAGATACAACATACGCGGTTTTATGAGGTGCCTACTGTCTCAGCTATGACGTGCATCTTTACTCAGTGATCTTCCTATACTAGATCGTGGATGTTTTTCACGTTATCCTTCGTGGTCGCCATTTTCGGGGTACCGAGGCGTGGCTTATCAAAACTGACGTGCGATCACGTTGAAACTCGTCTAACATTTTTTTGACCCTTTCCATCGAAGTAGAAGAGTCACCGTACACAGTATCTAAGCCTCTTTTAATTTCACTGAGCGATTTCCCTTCCAAAAACAAGAATCGAACCACCTACCGATATTAGTCATCTACGAGAATGTACTACACGATAGTGGATTTCTCTGCGAGACTTCATTTGCGGCAATATACAAAAACAAGAAGTTTAAAAGAAATAAGTCTATAAGAAATCTGCACTTTTCACTTTTAAACGCATTTTGATTTCTGCCGATAGGACAATCATATCAAAATATATCGAATTTTTACGTTGAGTTTAAACAACTTTTATTTAAAATTGATTTCGCGCTCGTACCTGACATTGAAAATCATCGGTCGTTTCAAGCATTATTTCTGGGAGAATTGTTCAATCTACAGAAAAAATGCTAATAAACATTTTTGTTCAAAATTATCTCAGCTACATTTTTATTGGAAACATTTTTTTCTACAGAATATAGACTCTCAGTGAATCGATTTTTTTGTTATCCTCCTCCTACGAGGGGGTATTTACTAATAAAAAAGATGCAAAATTTTTTTGCATATTTTTTGATGTCCCAAAATCTCTGACGACTGGATTATATAAACAGAAAATATATTATGAAAGGCCCTTGAAGGTAAGTATGTGTGGTTGGGATATTAACTTTAAATTCACATTATAAGTAATGCAGAATATTTTATTTGAGTTTAATAATTCACCAAATCACCTTCCATTTTGTACTTGAAGAAAGTCACAATTTATTAAAGGTATCTAATGATTAAAATCAAAATATTACTAACAAAATAAATAATTAGGAAAATAGGTAATTTATAATTGTGAATCATTAATGACTTTTTAAACACTTTAAGTCTTCCTTATCAAAAATTTAAAACCTATTTGTTTGAATACAATATTTTTTAAAAATTAAGGTGCATCATCAGGTAAATCATATTTGTAGTGAACAAAACGTTAATGAATGATTAAAATAAAATTACTTAAACACTTACCTCATGTTGCACAATATCCCAAGAGTGCTTAATTTCTTGATTGGTGTAATATTTTGGCATTGTAGCATTTAACTGATCTTCCAGCATAGTTGCCACTTGGTTTTTCTTAACATAGCCCAACACTCCAACAACAACTTCTAGTATTAAAATTATTAAGAGGAACACAGAAAACTGAAAATAAAATACTTATTCAGATCAAGAATATTAGTTATTATGACTACTTTAATCATGTAGAATTTTTCAACCTTGTATGTTTAGGTACTTTTTTATGTTAGTTTTTTTTTAATTTTTATTTTTGTCTTTTTACAATGTTTTCTTATCACAATATTTTACTGTTTTTCTCAGAAAAAATTGAGAAACTTAAATAATTATTTTTTAATATCAGGACTGTTTTGCTTTAAAATATTTTAGTTAAGAGGGGTTTTACTTTATTTGCTACTATGCCTACTTTATTTGAATGTAATCTCACAGTGCTATCAATTATTAATGAATGCTATTATTATGGTGTATACTCCTTGGTGCTCTTTAGTTTTCAATTTTTTGTTAAAGCCTTTTTATAATTGTGATAATTACTGTAATATTTCTTCCATTATGTATAAGCTTGTAGTTTTGTCTGTACACTTACTTATTGTTAATCAATTTGAAAACTATTATTCAAATGTTTAATTTTTCAAAGTACTTCAAGATACCAAAGTTTATAATTGGAAATTTTTTTTCTATATTATTACTAATACATATTTTATTAAAAAATCATCTACTTACTGTTATAATCATACAATGATTTTCCTTGACTGCTCCACAACAACCAAAGAATGCAATGATAAAGATGATCACCCCAACTATAATAAGTGCCAATGGTATGGACTGATACCCCTCATAAACAAACTGAGAATAATGTGAATAAACAATGTGGACTACCGCTCCAACCGTAAGGATAGCTATGCCAGATATCTGAAACAAAAACGATATAGAGGTATACAAATTTATCAATTATCAACAAGCTCAAATAATCTTATTTTTTAGTTATATTTTTTTATTTTATTTATATTTATATTTTTTTTATAAGAATGAATTTTCCGCGGAACTTAAAAAATTGAAGCGTTTAATTAATATGTAAGTAAGCCATGGAATCATTTACTTATATTTAATACATACTTTTTATTTTTTTAGTAACAATGTTTTAAGTTATTGTTATCCAATGACAACAAAAAATATTTAACATTATCATAATAGTGTTTGTTTACGTAGTAAACCATTATTTTTTACTTACGGCAAAAAGCAGGTTGAACGCAAACAACAAATATTTCACACAAGACATCCCTCCAGATACCATCTTCAGAATGAATGGAAAACTGTAAATAAAAAGCTTTAATCAATAAGTTGTCATGGACACTAATGTTTGTATTCCTGCACCTTTACACTCAAAGAAATAGATGAGGTTGTAGATACCCGAAGATACTTCTTCGATTTTTAAATATCCAATCGTATTATATTCGGTTCGGCTATGAACTCACACGTACCGTTAAATATTTTAGAACTGAAGACCAAAGAAACCTTAAATTTAAGTGCCACCTTCCGTGTTTTCTGACAATTTAGTATGCGCAGTGGATTCCCCTACCGATTTAACTATCCCCACTCTATGTTTTTAATTTCTGTTTTTATAAAGTTAACTTTAGAATAGAGAAAATAGGAAAATCTTTTTCAGAAAATCTTTACATGTCAAAGTCAAACGTAAATACAAACTGTCAAAATTAACTATTAATGACATTTTTTAGGTGTTCTGTTGAAATACAGAATAAGAAATTCTTTTTAAACAAGATTTACTCACGTATCAGATGAAATATATTTATCAAAAGCAGTTTAACCATACGGCATACGCACACATACGTCTATGTTTAACCGTATATACTCGGAAAAATAGTATGTAATTGCAATGCAAATTTCACATCAATTAGTTCCTGATTAGTTCAATGTTCATAGCATTCATCGTACTGCTTGTGAAAGAAGAAATTTTTAGGTTAGTGTAAATAAAAATATTAAAGGTTATAAACATTGTTTTTAGATTTTTTAATATCCATTTAAATAATTTTGTAAAAGAAATATGTTTCTAATGAGTAAGACTCTTAATATTATGTCTAGAACAGTAGTTGGCACAGCAAATACTAACATCGTTAAGTTAATATTTCCATTCATCCCGGAAAGACAAATTACCAGTATAAATTATATAAAAAAGCATTGTTCAACAGGTAACTAATTCATAGGGTTATAATTAATAACAAAAAATGAATACAAGGTAATTTCAGTTGCAAACAAAGAAGAGGATATTAACTATAATGATGTAACAAATGGTGATAAAGAATTGGAACATAAATTAAAAGTACTGATGTTAGAAGCTGAAGTAATGCGACAAGAAGGAAAAGCTGTACCTGAACATAATTTTCTCAGAGAAAAACATTGGAAAGAAATTTTGAACCTTTCCTCTAGATCTGCAAGACAAAAATATTTAGAGTATCTATTTAAGTTATCAAAAAGAAAAGAACATGAGAAGGTAAATCCATTTTATATTTATAAAATCATAATTAAAGTAGGTTGTTGGTTTTACATTTGAATTTGAATGATGCTGGTTGGCAACTTGGCAAGTCATTTTGCAAATTATAAATTTTAGTAGGTATGTGACATTTATATTATCATTGTAAATATAAAGCTTGTTGGGAAACAGATTTTATTAAGAAAGTTTTAAACAAGTTAGGTTGTCTATTGTGTCACTATATGCATTACTCTAATTCATTTTTTATGAACTGTAGGATATTTATTTTGTTTACAATGATTAATAATAGTCACCAGTTCAGTGACTATTCAAAATAGTTGTCTTCCTTATTTATAGAGGGTTATTGTGTAAACAGTGGTGGGTTCCAGTCTCATGTATAATTATACTATCATAAATTATTTATTTTTTGACAGAATTTAATAAATTTGTCCAAGAAAGGTTTATTCGCTCCAGGTGTGATCATGGTAGGGGTTCATTGAAATGATGCTAGCATGCGTACCGGTGAAATATGACAAAATTGGAATATTGGACCAAATATTTTTACGCATAAATTTTATCAAAAATGTGTGCAAATACATGTTACATATTTAATTGTGCTAATAATAGCAAAAATGGTGAGTGTAATTTTTATAGGTTCCCAAAGATTACATATGAATTAGAGAAAAGAAAAAGATGAATTCATGCTATTAATATGAAAAAGTAAATATGACATAATTTCATTTTTATGCACTTGAAATAGCAAAAATTTAAATAATTTACCTTAAATGATATTTTATAAGGCTTCAAGCTAACTGCAGATGACTTTAGCTTTTATATCATAACTTTTACTATTATTGTTTTTAATTATATGCTCTTTTGCGTGAAAAACTTGATTTGCCAGTACTAGATTTTTCCCTTTCTTTTCCGTTTGGAGTTGAAAAGATATATTATGATGAATTTTGAGAAACCCAGTTTATAATACTACATTTATTTTGTAAATAAACATATATCATATGTTTAACCTGAAAATTGGGAGGTCCAAAATTGTCAGATGAAGGTGGTAGGTGTCGCGTCAGTCACGCACAGAACGAATACTCGCTGAAAATTATTGATAGCACAAATTTTATGAGACTTTGTCATTATTTTAGTTAAGATTTACATTTACGTCTGTTTATACATTTAAAGATAACATCCAGAATTATTAGTTTTTTACTAGTAGGACAAAAAGCAATATTCAGTTAACTTGTATAATAAAAATGGCACAAATGTCTAATTTTACTCCTATGAAATTAAAGTGTCATTTAACTCTGTATTTGAACATTTGAAGATTGTAGGGTTAAAGTATAGTTTCTAAGCTTTTAAGTTGACAGGAATTGGAAAAACAACTATTTATAGACTTTTAAAATAACAAAAGCAAAGAACTAATATTACAGAAGCATTGAAAATGTCAACAGTAAGAAACCCCCAGCAAGTAGATACTATTATAAAACAAACAATTCAAAGAGAAGTGCATTCATTTTATTTTTAAAATAAAATACCTACTTTGGACAAACTTTTAGTAGGCATTTAAGTGTAGTTATCAAATTTTGTTAAACAAAACTAGAGACACATTGTAAAACTTTATGGCAATTCGACTTTGTTGGAGAGGAGTAGGATAGAAAATGTATACTTATAGATATACAGAAAGAAGAAACAATTTGTTGGAGAGGACTATACTTAGGAGACCTTTGAAAACTGAGAAGAGAGGGCACTAATATTTTTTATCTGGATAAAAGACATGGAAAGATAAACAAGTTAAAAATGCTCATCAGGACTAAAAACTTCTCTACTAAAGATTATCAGAGTAGTAGCAGTAGCTCAGTGACCAACATAGTGGTCTTCCAAGTCAGAGTGCTTATGTTCAATTTTCAGAACAACCAATATATATAATGGCTATACACCCCAGCGTGGGGTTAAACCGCAAATGCTTTCTAGATCCTATTTCTTAAGTGGATCAGTCTTTTTTTTGTTTATCTTATCTTCTTGACAATATCTCTCCATTTTTTCCTGTCTCTAGTTTTTCCTCTCCATTCACTGACTCCTGCCCTTTGGAGGTCTTCTTCAACTTCTTGCAGCCACTTTGATCTCTGCCTTCCTCTTCTCTTTCTTCCTCCTGGATTCCATTCTATCATTGCGTATGTCACTGCCTCATCGCCTGCTCGCCAAATGTGACCTAACCATCTAACTCTGCATTGCTTTATTTTGGTTACGATGTCTTCCTTAAGTTCTTCCTTAATTTCTGCATTTGTTCTGCTTCTATATTCATTTTGCTCTGTTCTGATTGGTCCTAGTATGGTTCTCATAATCTATCTCTCTGCAATTCTTAAGTCTTCTTCATCTTTTTTAACCATCGTCATTGTTTCCCCTGCATATAATAATATTGGTCTAATTATGGTGTTATAAATGCTCATCTTGCTTTTTTTAGTCAGTGTTTTGCTTTTAAGTAATCTTTTGTTTGCAAAATAAGCTTTATTCGCTGCTAATATTTTTTCTTTTATTTCGGATTTCCTTTCTCCGGATTTACTTATTGTAACTCCTAGGTATTTAAAGTATTCTACTTCTTCAAACTCGGAACTTCCTATTTTGATTTTTTCCTTTATTGGTTTTTTCCCTAATCTTAATATTTTTGTCTTTTCTTGATTTAATCTTAGCCCCATTACCTCCCCTTTCTCTCTTATTTCTTCAAGCATTTCTTTCATTATTTTCCTGTTCTTTGCAATAATAGCAATATCGTCTGCATATGCAATTATTTGACCACCTCTTGTTCTGAGATTTCCTTTATTTATGTTTCGCAGTACATATTCTAATGCTAGATTAAATAGCGTTGTTGATAAGGCATCTCCTTGTTTCATCCCTTTGTTTATACTGAATTCCTCTGTCTCTCCTCTTTGTGTCTTTATGCTTATTTTTGTAGTTCTCATTGTCATTTCTATTAATTTTCTGAGTTTATGTGGAATTTTTAATTTTTTAAGTGCTGTCATTAATACGTTCCTTTTAATAGAATCAAATGCCTGTTTGAAGTCTATGAATAACATTTCCAATTCTAATTTATACTCGTTTGCTTTTTCCATTATTTGTTTGATTGTGTGTATTGCATCTATTGTAGATCTTCCTTCTGTGAATCCACATTATTACTGTCCTACTGTCTTCTTTGTGATCTTTGATAACCTCTTTTTTATTATTGATGTCAAAATTTTATATGTTGTATTTAGTAATGTTATTCCTCTATAATTTTCACAGATTTGTTGGTCTCCCTTTTTATGTACTGTTATGATCTGTCCTACCTCCCAGTCACCTGGCATTTTCTCTTCTTTCCATATATTTTTCAATAGTGCCAGTATTTTTCCTCTTAGTTCCCTTCCCCTGTATTTTATTAGTTCCATATTAATTCCATCTTTACCTGGGGCTTTTCCATTTTTTGCTTCTCTGTATAACTTCATCCAATTCCTCTAATGTTGGTTCTTTTGAAATTTCGATGTCTACTTCATTTGCTTCTTCTTCATGTACTGTTTCCTCCTCGTCATACATTTCTTCTTCTGTTGTTTCCTCCGTCAAGAGCTCTCTGTAGTAATCTCTCCATACTTGCTTGTATTCTTGGTCCTCTATTATCACTATTCCCTCTCTATTTTTTATTCCGTTTGTTTTGCCCTTGTATTTTTTGTTTTGTTCTTTAATCTTTTTGTAAAAACTTTTCGTATTTCTGTTTGTTCTTTCCTGCTCTATTTCCTGCATTTTTTTGTCTACCCATCTTCTTTTATTTTGCCTTATCACTTTCTTAGCATTCCTTCTTAATTTTTCATATTCTTCTCTGTCTTCCTCTTTATCTGTTCTTAGCCATTTATTTCTGGCTTGCACTTTTTTTCCTGTTATTTCTCTACATTCTTGGTTATACCATTCGTTTTTTGTTTTAGCCTGACTTTTACCTATCTGCATATTTGCACCTTCTTCTATTGATTTTTTGATCGTCTCCCATTCTGTGCTTATATCTTCTGCTTTATATTTCTCTTTTATTTGAACTGTTACTGCCTCTTCATATTTTTTTCTTACTTCTTCATTACTCAATTTATTGACATTCCACTTGTTATGTTGGTTTTTTTGTTTTGTTTCAATTTTAACTTTTTGTCTTATAATGGCTGTGACCATGTAGTGGTCTGAATCTGCACACGCACCTCTGAACGTTCTTACATCTTTTATTGACGATTGTTTTCGTTTATTAATCATTATGTGATCAATTTGACTATATGTTTTCTGATCCGGTGACCTCCATGTTACCTTATGTATTTTAGGGTGTTCAAATTTTGTCGAGCTTATTAACAAATTTGCTCTTGTTGATAGGTTACATAGTCTTTGCCCATTGTCATTCGTGTTTTCGTGTATTGTATGCTTTCCTGCAATTTGCTGTAAAAAGTCCTCTTTTCCAATCTGGGCGTTGAGGTCTCCCAGTACAAATATGACATCTTCTTTGGGTATTTTTTCTATCTCCTCTTCGACCTTATCATAAAAGATTTCTTTTTCTTCTGCATTGCTTGTTTCTGTGGGGGCGTATAAATTCAAGACTGATATATTAAATGGTTTGCTGTTGACTCTAACATAGGCCATCCTTTCGCATATTGGCTTGAAATTTATAATTTTTTCTCTTAGGTGACTAAGTATCATGAATCCCACGCCTTTTTGCCCTTGCTTCTTTCCTCCTGAATATAACATTGTAAAGTCTTGTTTATCAATCTGTCCCTGTCCCTCCCAGCGTAATTCTTGCAGTGCTGCAATATCTATTTTATACTTTTTGAGTTCCTTTCCTATTTCTAGCATTTTTCCTGGAGTTAGCATAGTTCTTATGTTCCATGTGGTTATTTTCAACTCTTTATTTTTTTTGTTCTGTTGTCTTCGTCCTTTATTTTTGTTTTCTTGTCCATTTTTCTTTATTTCACTTTTGTTGTGCCCGGGTTTATCTGCAGTTATTTCCTGTTTCTTTGCCTCGTCCG